TTTGGGGTGGGGTTGGGGTGGTGTGACGCCCAACCTCATGCCCAGCGCGACTTCCTGATCGGAGTGGGATGGGGGCCTGGAAGTGCGAAAAAGGGGTGTGCCAAGGGTTTTAGGATAGTTGGGGGGGTGGAGTCCCAGGTCGGAACTGGAATCTCTTGTGGCAAGTTTCAGGGGCAAGAGTGCAAAAGGCATGAGTTGCGTCTCGTTTTGGGAGCCTCGGGGCTTGGAGTTACCACCTTCGTTAGTTCCGTCGTCTGGGTCGGTCTCAAATTTGATGCACGGTCGGGACACTATGACTGTCACGTTGTCCGACCACTTGTTGTCGACGAATGTCGCAAGCCTCGGAATCCGACGTGGTAGGCCTCAGTCGGAGACTGTGCGCCCGTCACTCGGCTTCGGAGAGGGTTCGTTGAGTGAACCCCGCGGCTCAGTAGGCGCGGTCTTGCTGGCACTCAGAGCAAGGTGGTTCGTGCCAGTAGGGAGCAAGCGCACGCCAAGGGGCTATCGTCAGCCAATGGAAAGGTACCATGAGAGAATAGGGAAGGTACTCTGTTTCGACAATGACGATGCAGGGTTCGATGATGATCTGACACGTGGCGTGGGCGGGCCGGAACGGCGAAAAGGGTAGGGAACGCTGTTTAAGGCTCGCCCGATATCCTGCTCACAAATGCGCTCGCGTCCCGTTTGATAGGGGAATTCCGGATGTTTGGCCAGGGGGCGTGTGGAGAAATGTGCGCGCTCCCAGTATTCTCGGAATTCTTAATCTCTCAAACACTCACGATCGGTAACACGAAAAGGGGTTTCAATATTCATACTGCAAGACAAGCAAACGCTCAGACATCCGGGGAGCGAGTCGAAGGTAAGTTTTGCAGGCATTGGAGACAAGCAAACGCTCAGACATCCGTGGTCCTCGGAACTGAGCTTACACGCGCGTGCACAAGACCTGTACCTCACGTTAAGGGCACTCGCGGTTAACGACCACTTGAAATTTCATAATGAAAGATTCTGAAGTGGTCTGAAACTGTTGAAATGGCCTGAAGACACTTCAGGTCATTTAAGAAGTTTCGGGTGGTTTGCAGGACAAGTTTTACGGTTTTTTTTTTTTTTTTCTACCTGTTTTTTCAGCCACTTCAGGTCATTTCAGGAATTTATGGTGGGGACCTGAAACCGCTGAAGTTGTTGAAGCTTCTGAAAGGGGTTTCAGGTACCCCCCTCCAACCATTTGGATGGGGGTACCTGAAACCCCTTTCAGAAGCTTCAACCACTTCAGGTCATTTCAGGAATTTCAAATGGGGACCTGAAACCGTTGAACTGGCTCAAGCTTTTGAAAGGGGTTTCAGGTACCCCCATTCAAATGGTTGGATGAGGGTATTGAAACCCCTTTCAGAAGCTTCAGCCACTTCAGGTCATTTCAGGAATCTCGGGTGGGGACCTGAAACCGCTGAAGTGGCTGAAGCTTCTGAAAGGGGTTTGACGTACCCCCATCCCACCATTTGCAATGGATCTGTAGGCAATCTGAAAGTGGTGTATCAACCTGAAGTGGCTGAACTGCCTGAAGGCGTTTCAGACAACCCCATGTATAAATCCACACACAATCTGGAAGTGGTGTAGTAACCTAAACTGGCTGAACTGCCTGGAAAGGAGACGTGAAAATATATGCACCCGTTAACCATCTCTCATTAAGGGAGGAAATTAGGACGGGCGTGCCTAAGGGAAGACGTCCAATCATCTAGCACGCATATATAATTCACACCCATGCATCCAGCGTTACATGCGCGCACAACCGATAGAAATCCCGCAGTATCCGATAGTGGACGATCGACCAACCGGATCACTAGTTCCCAGTTGACAAGAGATGTAATATTCATGCATTGATCGAAATTTGAGGGTTTGAGGTGAGGTACACGGTTAATCACACGACATTCCAACCTATATTGCAAAAAGGAAAAGAGCAAGAAGTTGACGAGTACATATACATCGAAACAATCTAGTTTGTTCGATCATTCCTTCACACTACTTTAGCCCAAGAACGCGCAGAAATCAGATACCGACGATTATCACACCCGACTCAAAATAAGCTCATGAAAGAACAGAGAAGGAAAATGGATCAATCATTCATCAGTTTACCAAAAGAAAGAGAATTCAGGATAACCGTGAGCAAAAAGATGGTTGGCGCCAATTGTCAAAATTACACAGATGAGGGGAGAAAAAACACAATCCCAACTTGTTTTCTCTCTCTCTCTCTCTGTCTCTCTCCACCATTCCCGATGCAGACATTCCGTCGCCTTACACCCATACAGAGTTGTCACCCCGCTGAATCCGAACATGCAAGCCAGGTTCGCCCGTGCGCCATATTCCGTCGCGGCCCCACGTCAACCCCTCATACTCAACACCAGCTCGTCGAATCGCCAAACTCTCTATCTCTACTCACCTTTCAAACTTGCTCGTTAGCCGATCCTCACTAAACACGCTAACCTTCCAAACTCAGAGAGAGCAAGCTAATCGCGCTTGCAAAATTTATAACTGCATGCTTGCGCGAGGAACCCGAAATTGTGCCTAAGTGAGGGAAAGGGAAAGAGAAGGGAGTGCCTACGCCTGCATGGCCAAGTCGCGGCGTGGGGGACGCAGCCACACTCCACGCATCGATCCGGTCATGCAGCCGTTCAGGCCAATTAGAGTGGACTCAGTAGAGGACAACGTATGCACGACTGAGGGGGAGAAGGCGGGGAAACACAAGAGAATCAAGAGGAAGGACTACAGTTACAATCGCGCCCACCAAAAACCATTTCGAAAAGTGGTATACAAAAACCAAAAGGATTGAATACTCGCAGCTATTCGGTCCAAGGGGCACGACAATATCCGTGGTATCCATACTAACCCTCTGGAATGGTCGTTCGACTACTGTAGGTGTTATCGATCTAGGCGGTTGAATTGGCGCCTTGCCGACGACGCAAACCTGACAATTTCAGACGAGGAATTTAACGTCGTCACGAATGTTGGACCAGTACTATTCATTTTTATCAATCGTCGCCTCCGTGATTCGGACAGTGAAATGGGCCGCAGTCTCCTCGTGGACTGACTTAACCCAGTCATACCTTACGAATGGATGCGAGACAAACATCCAAATCCCGTTTCCATCTGTCTTCCGTTTTTCTAACCGTCCCTTATTCCATCAGTAATCTCGAGCTCTCTCATTGGCCCGTCTCCGGTCTTCCTTTGTGAAGTCTCGGAGAGGATTGCCAACCACCGTAGGTATCAAGATGACATATGTCCATACTTCAGCCCTTTTAAACCGTCGGGTCTTTTCTAGCCCTTCAGACGTGGCTTCGAGAAATCGGGTTTCCGTCAGGACACAGGGGACACAACCAGGGCTTCAAGTTGTCCGTATTTCGGTATTGGATACAAGAACCATGGACTCGGGAAACACATCGTTGGCAATCTAGCCATTCGACATAACCTTCGTCACTCAACCGCATAGAGACCAAGTAGATTCAAGAAATTGCTTCACAAAAATAGCAAAATATGTCAAGAAGGAAGGAGAAAGAGGAGGATGAGAGAGGGGAAAGAGGACCTTCGAGATAACCTCCGCATCCTATCGCCATTGTGTCGATCACCCCTTAGGAACTCGAGGAAGGATGACCACCTGTCCGTATCATGGCCTGGTGACTGGTTCCGGTTCTCTCCATGGAGTGATCTCCTCGCCTTT